AGCAGGATTAACTTTGACAGTTGTACTCGGCGGAGTTGGATTTTTTATTTTGCACTTGTTGCATTCATCAATATCGAGGGGAGAATGAACGACTTNGAAACCAGCGCCTTCAAATTCTTCTTCTCTGTCTTTAAGATTAGCTGAAGTAAAATCCCCACAAACAACTTTGTAGGGGCCCAGAATTAAACTATCGTTAAGAGATTGTAGAGTTATCATGAGACGCTGTGAAAGTTGGTTTACTGAAATCCCTGGTGGAAGTGGACACGTGTTGATGTCCCAAAAAACATGTGTCTTGTAATATTCTAGATTATCTACAAGAGCTATGAGATAAAAATCCAAAAAAAACTTATTCGAAAAATAGAAATTCATAAACGTTTCATAAAAAAAAGTAAAATAATCTATTAAAATCATTGTAGATATACGTGGATTTTGATTGGTAGACATCAAGAGAAGATTATGGACAACTTGTATGCAAACAGAGACAAAATATTATATAAAATAATAGAGAAGGTGGAAGTTATGGCGTTAGAAGAGGCGAAGTATGGGGTTATATATAGTATAATGTTAGAATGTACTATCAAAGCATGTGACCCAGAATTAAATTTGGGGCAATTACAAAAATGCCACTTTTTTGTGTGCACATTTGCAAGAATGCCATTTAGGGGTGTCCATTTGCAAAAATGCCACTAATTATAGATTTATAAAGCCTATATCTTAAAATTCTAAANNNTAAAAAATGTTTTGACCCCTAAAACCCCCTAAACCCTCATAATTAAACCCTAATAAAACATAATTAACCCAAACATAAATGATATAAAGAAAAAATAATTTTGAAAAAGTGGCATTTTTGTAAAGATTTCAAAAGTGTGGCATTTTTGTAAAGTGGTACTTGAAAAATGGCATTTTTTGAAATTTCTCATTAAACTTCGAAATTTTTTTTGTCTGATATATTTCATGTGCTATGTAATACCATGCGGTTTAACGAATTACGCACTGGATAAAGCAATTCTTTTGTCCAAAAAATATTGAACCTTTTAACAATTAATTGTACATACGTATTTACAGGCCTGCG